AGAGAGAGAGAGAGAGAAACAATTCTTTCATCTGCTGATTCACTCCCAAAATGGCTACAGCTATTGGATCTGAGGCGATCCGAAGCCAGGAGTGTGGAGCTTCTTCTGGGTCTCCTACACATGTGCAGAGGCCCTAGGACTTGGGCCATCTTTCACTGCTTTCCCAGGTCACAGCTGAGAGATGGATTGGAATTGGAGAAACTGGGACTAGAACTGGCACCTGTGTGGGATGCTGGTACTACAGGTGGTAGTTTTACCTGCTACACCACAGTGTAGCCCCTTTAACTTACTTTTAATTACTTGTATTACTCAATATTTTCTAGGGCCATTTAATTAATATTTGTGTAATTGCTAGCTGTTCAGAATTGCCTCTGTTACTTATTTTTCACATTAGTATGGTTTTTAAAGATTCTTGGTAAGATTTTGTTATCAAATTTATTAACATTTATTTTGTGGCATGATATATGGTCTATCCTATAGCATTTACCATGTATGATCTCAAAAAGTATGTATATTCTGTAGCTACAGGATTGCATGCTCTTTGTATATCTGTGAAGTCCATTTGCTATGCAATACAACCAAAGACTAGCTGTTTCTGAATTTAATTTTCTCTCTTGATGATCTGTGCAGTACTGGGGGGCAGGTATCCCAACTGCCTATTATTACTGTGTTGAAGATTACGCCATCCATTAGATCCCTTAATCTTTGCTTCTTCCTATGTCTAGGTGTTCTGATGTTGGGTACAAATAAAAGTAACAATTGCTAAATCATTTTCATGAGTTTGTTGTTTATTCTACATCCCTATGATTACTTTTTTGTCTTTATATATTTTTGATTGAAGTCTGTTTTATCTAATAAGTACAGGACTCTGCCACTTTTTCTCCTACATACATGAAATATCTTTTTTCATCTCACTACTTTTAGTCTATGGATGTAATTTGTATTGAAGTAATCTGTTGCAAGTGTTACTTGGTTGGGTTTTTAAAAATTAATTCAACCAACTTGTGCCTTTGGATTGGAAAATTTAATTCATATACACAAATGTAATTATTGATAAATAAGGATTTACTAGTTCTTTTTTTTTTAACTCTGGTCCAGCTATTTTGTAAATTCTTCATTCTGTTCTTCTCTTGTTATTTCATTTGCAACTTGACATGTTTATATGTACATATACTTTGTAATTTTTTATGTTTTTATTCATTATAGGTTTTTGCCTTGATTTCCCTGAAGCTTATAAAACATAAGTCTCTTTTAATTAATGACATTTTAATGTTTATTACATAAAAGCTATACTTTTACTCTCTGCTTCCATATTTTACGTTTTTATGCTACCTCTCTTTCTCTTTTTAAGATTTAATTGAAAGGCACAGCAAAAAAAGACAGAGAGGGACAAGGAGAGAGATTGTCCATCTAATGGTTTCCTCCTCAAATGATCGCAACCGCATAGACTGGGCTAGGCCAATGCCAGGAGTCAAGAAGTCCATAGTGGTCTCTCACATAGGTGACAGGTGTCCATGTACTTGGGGCATCTTCTGATGCTTTCCTGGGTGCATTAATAGGAAGCTGGACCAGAAATGGAGCAGCCAGGACTCAAATCAGCACTCCAATACAAATGCAGAATCACAAGTTGCGACTTAACACACTACGCCACAATGCTGGTACCATCACATAAGTCTTTTAAGTTATATTTACTCTTTTTCCTTTACTTATTTTTCTTGAATCTCAGACTGTTTTATTTATAGTGACCAGCGTTAGAGTAAACTGATTCACTGTTCTTGTTCTAGTCTGATATTTAACTTCTCTAATGATTTTATTAAATTTTATTTTTACAAATAATCTTCAAAACTTCATTTTGCCATAAATATCCCTGACTATATATTTTGCAACAAAATAACCTTATATTAACTTATATTAACTTGTCACAACATGGATGCATAGCATCTCTTTTGATGCACAAAAAAAATAGGATATAAGATCGCAAAAAAGCCCATATCCAAACAATACAAAGTCTGTTAAAATTAAAGCAAGAACAAAATTCAAATTAATAGTGAAACTTGTGTGGAACAAGGGTGAAAGCATTTAGGAAAATGTGGGAAAAATTCCACAGACAAATAAAAAGTTACAAATGGATAACTAAGTTTTAGAACTGAGAGGATGGTATTGAAAATGAAGTGGTGGCAGACCACTTCAGACCATTTCAATTTTTTAGCAAAAATTATTCATGTGTTGCCGGCGCCGCGGCTCACTAGGCTAATCCTCCACCTTGCGGCGCCGGCACACCGGGTTCTAGTTCCGGTCAGGGCACCGGATTCTGTCCTGGTTGTCCCTCTTCCAGGCCAGCTCTCTGCTGTGGCCAGGGAGTGCAGTGGAGGATGGCCTAAGTGTTTGGGCCCTGCACCCCGGGGGAGACCAGGAGAAGCACCTGGCTCCCGCCTTCGGATCAGCGTGGTGCACCGGCTGGCCACAGCGTACTGGCTGCGGCAGCCATTGGAGGGTGAACCAATGGCAAAGGAAGACCTTTCTCTCTGTCTCTCTCTCATTGTCCACTCTGCCTGTCAAAAAAAAAAAAAAAAAAAAAATTCATGTCTTAACTGAAAAGTATCAGTGTTCTACAGTAGAAACAATATACAACACTATAGATAGCTTTGTTGATTTACTTTACAAAAATCTGAATGAAACATAAAAATGGAGTAAAGATTTTGCTCAATTGGTATCATCATTATTGCAACCAGGTCATTGGCAAAACAGAGAAGAGCTTTCAATGAAAAATTTAATTTTGTGGTAAAATGATCCTGAAACATGTTTGGAAAAATTATATAACAGGAACAGACACTTTACCAAGAACATAAGTTTTTTTAGATGGACTATATGACTGGCATTCTCAATTGCTGGAGAATATCTTGAAAAAAGAAAATTTATACTGTTCTTTTTTTATTTTTATTTTCCATGAAACTTTTGAAGGATTCTCATATCTGAGAGTATACCCATGATTTTCAAGTGCATGTTAAATATTTTATAAAACTTACATCAGGAATTTCAAAGACTAAATGCCAACAAATTTTCAAATAGTTATATGATACAAATATACATATAATAAGATAAAATTAAAAGATCATTGTTTAAAAACAAATGAACTATACTCTATATTCCAAATTTAAAATTCCTTTCAGTGTAGTAGTTGGAGTAGACTCACCAAATGACTTAAGCCTATCCGAGTTCTGTCTATAACACATGCATGGGTCCATTCAATAGAAAAATGAAAAAATTCAAATCCATGCATGAAATCAAAACAGCATGTTCACCAGTTATTAGCAGATGAGGGAACTTGAAGGAACTATTCAAAAACGTGTGTTTTGGTAGGAATCCAAATGAGACACAGCTCTTAACACAAGTGACTAAGACTCACTGTAAAATGTGCTGTGATGTGATTTAAGACTTAAGACCTCACTTTGTGTGTGGTGCAGCAATTAAGACGCCTCTTGGAAATGCACATGCTGTATTGGAATTCTGTTTTGAGTCCTAAGTCACCTCTTTTACAGTTCCCTGCTAATGTGCATGCTCCTTGAGAGGCAGTAGGTAATGACTAAAGAACTTGGGTCTTTGTCTCCCAAATGGAACACTATATTGAGTTCCAGACTCCTGGCTTTGGCTTGGGCAATCCCAGGCTTTTTCCAGCATTGTGGAACTAATCAAGGGATAGAATGACCAATCTCCATATATTTTTCTCAAAATAGCTTTCTATATCCTGTAAACATTTGTCAATGTCAATTGGCTGAATGAATGGATTAGGCAAAAGAAAATTAAACATATAAATAATATTTAATAACTTATTTGTATTATACATTACATATGTAAATATATAATGTTTATAATACTTATCCATTAAAAATTTGGCATTCTACGTAAATATTAATTGAAAAATCCTACTTACACAATTATTCTTCCATTAGAGGGTCTAAACTTCATTTATTATTTTCAGAATGAGGTTTTTTTTTTTAATTTTTGTAACTACCTTTTTAGTGCTTGCTAATTTATGCCTTTGCATAGCATATTTCATATACACAAGACTGTAACAGTAGCAGTAAGAAAAAAGATGTGATATTATTTGCATATGATCACTTGGAGTACCTGTATTTACAATTTTTGACTGAAACATTGGAAAGCTTCCAGAATCAATCTTGAGGCAGCAAATGCTCAAAGAATATTGTAATGCTTGAAATTTATTTTATAATGAGATTATTTACAATTATCTGCCAACAATGCTGTGGCAGAGGTCTTTTTCTGTTAATTAAATTTGATTCTAACTGATATGATTAAAGCTGTGGTAGAACCCTTCCCAGAAAAAGAGAAAGGGAGGCATCTGTCCTGGGAATGAAATGCAGTTGTTATCTGCTTGCCTATGAATGCTTCAACTGTAGTTACTATCTGATTGTATGTAATCATTTCAGAGTCTGCTTCTTAGGACAGAGCAAAGATGTTAATCCTTGTCAGACAGCATATAGCTCAGCATGTATATGGAGAAAAATCATCATCATCATCTATGTACCCAGGCACAGCACTGTACCAATTCCTGTATGCAATCAAATGTATACATGTAAACCATTTAAGGTAGACAAACAGGCTTAAACCATATATAAGGAAAAAAAAACCTTCTTTTTCAGGGCTCAGAATTTTAGATAAGAATTTACACCTGGGCCTTATGTGTGTAAATGTTGAGGTCAGTGGAGAACTTTTTCAAAATTAAAGCAAATGAAAATGATTTCATCACACGTAAGTAGGTGTAGATCTAAGTATCATACTATAAAAATTGCAAATAATATCTATTTTGACAAGTCATTAATAGGGTTGCAGAAGTCATTTCATGAAGAAAATGGAAACAGACTAATGTGGTTTCAGTAGTGTATATACAGCTTCTTTGTTGACTCAGAATAATGGATACGTATAAAGTTGCTCCACTTACTTTTAAATATACAACAATGTAATTAAAGCACACTAATGAATCACTTTCCCATCTCCTGTATTTTTAATATTTATTACACATTTTTATTTTTAAAAATTTTAAGAAAAATTTTATTAATAAATATGAATTTTGAAAGTACAACTTTTGGTTATAGTGGTTTTCCCCCAATAACCACCCTCCCACCCACAGACCATCCCATCTACTACACCGTCTCTCATCCCATTCTTCATTAAGATTCATTTTTAATTATCTTTATATACAAAAGATCAAGTTAGTATATACTAAGTAAAGATTTCAACAGATTGAACCCACACAGAAACACAAAGTATAGAGTACTGTTAGAGTAGTAGTTTTACCGTTAATTCGAATAGTACAGCACATTAAGGACAGAGATCCTATATGGAGTAGGTGCACAGTGACTCCCATTGTTGATTTAACAATTGACACTCTTATTTATGATGTCAGTAATCACCCGAGGCTCTGGTAATGAGCTGCCAAGGCTATGGAAGCCTCTTGAGTTCACAAACTCCGACCTTATTTAGACAAGGCCATAGTCAAAGTGGAAGTTCGCTCCTCCTTTCAGAGAAAGGTACCTCCTTCTTTGATGGCCCGTTCTTTACACTGGGATCTCACTCACAGAGATCTTTTATTTATGCCATGTTTTGCCATAGTGTCTTGGCTTTCCATGCCTGAGAAATTCTCATGGGCTTTTTAGCCAGATCCAAATGCCTTAAGGGCTGATTCTGAGGCCAGAGTGCTATTTAGGGCATTTGCCATTCTATGAGTCTGCTGTGTATCCTGCTTCCTATGTTGGGTTGTTCTTTCCTTTTTATTTCTATCAATGATTATTAGCAGACATTGGTCTTATTTATGTGATTATTTTGACACATAATCCTATTTTTATGATCAATTATGAACTTAAACTTATCACTTTAGCTAGTCAGATGGCATTGGTACATGCCAACTTAATGGGATTCGGAGTCTCATGGCACATTTCTAGCTTTACCATTAGGGGTAAATTCAAGTGAGCATGTGCCAAACTGTACATCTCCTCCCTCTCTTATTCCCACTCTTATTTTCAACTGGGATCAATTTTCAGTTAAACTTAAACACCTAAGAATAATTATGTGTTAATTAAAGAGTTCAACCAATGGTATTATGTAGAACAAGAAAATACTAAAAAGAATAAAATAGTAAGCTGTTCCTTGACAGGACAAGGGCTGATCAAGTCATTGTTTCTCATAGTGTCAGTTTCACTTCTACAGGTTTCCTTTTAGGTGCTCAGTTAGTTTGCACATTTTTATATTTAATGCTTTTTTTTTCACTACCTTGAAAGAAACAGAGAGATGTAGAGAAATCTTTAATCCTGTAGCACACTCCCCAAGTTCCTACAAGATCCAGGGCTCAGTTGGACTGAATACCAAAGCCAAGAACTCCACATGAGTCTCACATGTGGGTCATGGGGGCCCCAAGCACTTGAATTTTCTTCAGTTGTCTCAGAGCTGGAATGCAGGAACATTCATCAGAAATGCAGCAGCAGGGTCTTGAGTTGGCATCCAAAATGGGATGAAGTCATCCCAAGTGCCAGCCTAAACTACCACATCATAAAAATCTGCCCCCTGCATTTTGCATATTAGTGACTTGATTACAAGTTCAAAATTTAACAAAAGAAAGTATCCAGTGCTTATTTATTTTCTAGGCATAATCATCATAATGGTTTTCATTGATAACCATTGCTAAAAATAATTTTTTAGAAGAATGCTGTAAAAATCTTTCCTAGGTTTTAAAGATGGTAAATAAACTTCTCTTCCATCTTGCTACTTAAATATATCATTTGTCAGGCAAAAACTTTGCGCTCAACTTGTGTCATTTTTTTCTCTCTTTGCTTTTAAATTATGTGTACTGGTTCAGAAAGCTCTAGTTAACACTCTAAAGGTATGATGTGGAGACATATTGCCATTGAAACTGCTGTAAACCTTGATGTACATATTTGGATTTTCATTCATTCCATTCTATGCATTGTGAGGAAAGACTATATAAAAACATAACATGAACTTCTGGTTTCTCTATCCATTAAATCAGTTGAAAGAATCTGACTTTACAAGATAAGGTAAGAAATGGTAGTTCTTACTGAAGGAGGGAGAAACTTAGCAATTTCCAAAGATAATAGATGGAACTTGTTGGGCCTGAGCTACCAATCAAATCTAAAGGGAGCTAGTCTCCACTTTTATTTTCTTACTTACTATCTAGGTTGACATTATCTTTAAATAAAGGGAAAATTGTCATTCAAGTACATTCAGAACCTCATGTGGAAAGTGTCTTCCTTCTTTATAAGCAAATGTTTGATGATATTGAAGAAATTTAGATGAGACAATCCACTCCATTTTTTAAAACTAAACAAAAGATTACATGATGAGATGTTTTGTATTTCATGAAAAATGTTAAACAGTAAACTTCTTGTAGGTAAAAATGTTACGAAACACACACTAAGAAATCATCAAAGTTAGCTTGTCTTCCATCTGAAATAAATCATGAGTTGTATCCTTAAAGGTAAACCAAGTTTTCATTCTACTCTTTGCTCAAGAAAACTCAATCCTGCTAAATTGCAATACGGCATTGTTAAAGCCACCTTTCCAAATTGTTTTTAACAAATTTTCCATTTACATGAATTTGAATAGTCCCTTTTGGGTTAAGCTTCTTTCTTTCTTGCATTATTTTTTAAATCAGAGTCACTTTATTCCTGAATGATATTGAAGTCAATTTATACTTGAGTCCTTCAACCACGAGAATGATCTAGATAACTGTTTTATGATGTATATCAGAGATCCAGCTCTAGCTTCTTATGGCAAGGATACATATATTTTTACTTGATTGTGTTATATTCAAGTGAATGATGTTTATGAAAATGGAAAATGAACATCAAGAATCTTCTAAAACTAACAGACTGAATTCCCATGAGATTCATTTTTTCAGTTATTATAATAAATATAATGTTTAACATTAGGATAAAATTATCTGAGGATATATGAAATTATAATTGTGAGTTCTCTAATGTTTAGACAAGAAGACAGTTCAACAATCTTGACATCCTTAGTGGTTGAATTAATGGCATCATCTCATGTATCAGGGATGCTAGCCCTAGGTTTGAAAGAGCGCTAATCTCGCTTTTTCTTCTTTCCTGTCATAAGAATATTTTGATAAACAAGCAACCAACATTTTATAACAAGGTAAGTAGTGATTGTCAGACAAGCCAGCAGGAACCCAATCACATCCAAGGAGTGATACTGGAACCAGGTGAGATCATGGGCTGCAACCCGAAGGTGTTTGGCTCCTTTGTGGCGCATGACAAACTCAATCCAGAATATTGCTTGATCCAGGGGCTTCATGGGCTGATCATGGTGAATTCTTGATAACGTCATGGCTTTCTCTTTATAGCTGAAGGAAAATTAATCAACATGAGCTAATAGAATGATTAGGAAAGTAGATTCGCGAAATTTGTGGGTTAATAGTAAACAAGAATGTCAAGTAAAAGGGTAGGGAAAACAAATTTTCTTCAATAAACATTATAGGTGTCTGAGTTTATAGGTTCATTTCTTTTTTTGGATGTATGGGACTGTAAAATGTGTTGAAAGATGTTGGCAGAGTACAATATTTCTTACATTCAATCCAAGAAATTAGAATCACTTAGTTCTCAAATACAATAAAACTGACAAAAACCAAAAATAACAATAGCAGTAAAATAATTTCATGAGCAATATTTGAATAATTCTGTAAGCAATGGTTTGTAGACCTGAAGAACAGTGTTCCAATTAATATCAAAAATTATAAATCAAACTCAAATCCATAGCAAAACTCAGGTATATCTGGGCAAAATTAACAAGGAGTGCATATCAATCAGGATTTTGTATTGAACTTAGTCATTAGTGAGTACGTTATCAAATGATAAAGATTTGACAATGAATGACCTTGTTTGCAGCCATTTGCTCTTACTTTCCCTTTTCACAAATTTCTTGGTTCCTAGAATTTCATTGTTAAATGAAATTTACAGGTATAGTATCTTTCCTATCTTACTCTTGTAATTAATACTACATTCACCCTCAGAATAATTGAATTATTCTTTTAATAAAATAAGACAATAGTAAATGTTTTATATTATTCATATTTTTCTTCTTTTTAGGGTTGTGATTTGAGAGTTGGAGAGTTTCTTTTGTTAATTGTATTTGTTATGTAAGTTTCATGTATTTGATATATACAGATATAGGAACATAGTGAACATTGTGATACAGAAATTCTATTGGAGGGAAAAATCAGCAGCAGCCCACTGACTTTGAGCCAGCAGGGTGAATTGACAGGTGGCTGAGCACCCATGTAGGACTTTGATGCACCCCTAGCCTCCCAGCCTTTCACAGGCTCTGGAGCTCAAGTTGCCTGGGTGGGGCTAGATCAGGGAACAGCTGTCTCTCTGTTGACTGGACAGAATGGCAAGGCAGAGCAGAACATTTGTAACAAGTACCTATGGGAGCCTTGTTGGAACATTTCAGCTGGAATTGTGCTGAGTGAGGACTGTGGTGATCATTTTCGTGGTTCACGTGGTGATGTGGATGAGTGTTGAACCCATGGGGGACTAATATCAAGGCATTGCTTATGTTGGAGGTGAGGTGGTGAGGGAGTGATCACACTATCAGTGGTGACCATTTCCTGGCCTTCTATTAACAGGAGGAGATCTACCACACCCAACTTTGGCATTACCCTGGATACTCATCCCACACTTGAACACTGACCAGAACTCCCCAGCCACAACCAGCACATACCTCTTGGTATTCACTAAAAGTGCAGATATTCCACTAAGCCACGGAGACATGGTTTAAAGATAAAGGCGATCAGTGAGAACAACAACAACAACAACAACAAACCAAGTAACTCCACAAAATTCTAAAAATAAATGCAGAAATTCAAGAAGTAAGAATAAGGAAGACAACATGATCCCCCACCCAAAGGAACACATTACATTTCAATATTAGAATGTGAAGATAAAGAGATTGATGAATAACCTGAAAGGGAATTTAAAAGGTGAATCATAGGATTCTTGAAAACAATCAAAAGCAAATCCATAAATTAAAGAAAACCATACATTACATGAATGCATGCAAATGTTTCCCATGAAACTGACATTTTAAAGAGAATTAAAAATGAAATATTAGAATTGAAGCTATTCAGTAGATCAAATAAAAAATGTTGTGGAAAGCCTTAACAACAGACTTGATGAGGCAGAAGAAAGAATATCACAGCGAGAAGACAAATCTTTGGAAATCTTTCAGTCAGACCAAAAACAAAAAACTAAACAAGAAAAAATTGGAAACTTAAAAGCAGTGTTGAAGATTTAGGGGATGCTACCAAATAACCCAACATACAGGTCTGTGGAAAGAATGGAGGAGAAGACCTGTTTAGTAGAATAATTACAGAAACCTTCCCCAATTTGGAGAAAGAAAGGGATGTCAAGGTACACAAGGCACATAGAACTCCTAATAGACATGACCAGAAAAGATCTTCACCACAACACATTGTAGTCAAAATTTCAACAGTAAAACATAAAGAAAGGATTCTAAAATGTACAAGAGAGAAATGCTAAATTACTATCAGAGGATTCCTAATTAGACACAGCTGACTCTCATCAGTCCCTCTATAGGCCAGAAGAGAATGGAAAGACATAGTCCAAGTATTAAGAGAAAAAAATGTCAACCCAGAATACTGTACCTGAAAATGTCTCATTTATGAATAAAGGTGAAACAAAGACCTTCCATAGCAAACAGAAATTGAAAGTTTGTCACCACTTGTAAACCCTTACAAAAATGCTTAAGCATTTGCTACACAAGAATACACAAAAGGATAGCCATCATTAAGAAAGACAGTGAAGGCAAAAAATGAAGCAGTGGAAGTACAAAAAAAAAAAAATCCAAAGTAAATAATAGACATATTTATGGAAAAAGGGCAGGGTCAATAGTCACCTTGTTGAAGGAAATCTCCAGTTAAAAGATACAGACTGGATGAATGGATTAAAAAACAGGACCCATCTATTTGCTTTCTACAAGAAACACATCTCACCAAACAAGATATATGCAGACTTAAAATGAAAATGTGAAAAAAGGTATTCTATGAGCAGAAAGCAAGAAAGGGCAGGTATGCAAATCATAGTAACACACAAAATAGATTTTAACACAAAAACTGTTCAAAGAGACAAAAAAGACTCCATGTAATGATTAAGGGATCAATTCAACAGGAAGATATGAGTATAACAAATGTATATGCACCCAATTACAGGGCATCTGGCTATTTACAAGAAATGTTAATGGATCTAAAGGGAGACAGACTCACATACTATAGTAACGGGGGAATTTGGAATTCAACACCCCACTTTCATCAATACACTGATCAAATAGACAGAAAATAAACAAAGAAACAACATAGCTAATCATTACTATGGACCAAATGGACTTAACTGATATCTACAGAACTTTTCACCCCATTGTTGCACAACATTAATTCTTTACATCATTGCATGGAACTTTCTCTAGGATAGACCATATGCTAGGCCATAAAACAAGTCTCTCCAAATTCAAAATAATTGAAATCATACCATACATATTCTCTGACCACAATGGAAAGAAGCTGGAAAACAACAACTCAAGAATCTCTAGATCGTATGCAGACACATGGAGACTGAACAACATGCTTTTGAATGAATAGTGGGTTATAAAAGAAATCAAAATAGAAATAAAAAAAAACTTCTGGAAACAAATGAAGATGATAGTACATCATATCAAAGCTTACAGGATACAGCAAAATTATTGTTGAAGGAAATTTATTGCAATTGGTGAATACATGAAAGTTGGAAACTTACCAAATAAAAGCTATCAATGTATCTCAAGGATCTAGAAAAACAGAAAAAATAAAAAACAAATGCAAACTAGTAGGAGGAAATAAATAATTAAAATTAGAGAAAATAAAGAAAATTGAGCCAAGAAAACAAAAGATAAGCAAAATGAAGTGTTGGCTTTTTGAAAAGATAAACAAAACTGAAGCAGCATTAATGCAACTAACCAAAAAAAAGGGGGGAGATAGCCCATATAAATAAAATCAGAGATGATTCCTATACAATCCAATCTACTAAAATTGAGTCATATAGACATAGAAAACCTAAGGAGACCAATAACTAAGATGGGAATTCAGTCAGTAATAAACACGCTCCCAAGAAAACAAGCCCAGCATTGGGTGGTTTCACTGCTGAATTCTACAAGACATTTAAAGTACTAGTTCTAATTCTTTTTGAGCTATTCATAAACAATTGAAATGGGAGGAATTCTTCCAAACTCCTTGTACAAAGCCTACATCACCTTAATTCCTAAATAACAACAAAAAGATACAACAGAGAAAGAGAACTATAGACCAATATTCCTGATGAACAAAGATGCAAACATCCTAAACACAATACTAGCCAATTGAATTAAAAAACATATTAGAAAGATCATTACCTGACCAAGTAGGATTTATTCTTTGTATGCCTGGGTGGTTCAGGATTTGTAAAACAATAAATGTCATATATCACAAACAATATCCTAAACTTATAAAAAGTTCATGAACTTCAACAACAATTAAACAAATAATCCAGTTAAGAAATTGTTTGGACTTGAATAGAAATTTTTAAGAGAGAAAATCCAAATAGCCAATAGGCACTCTAAAAAAATGCTCAGGATCATTAGCCTTCGTGAAAATGCAAATCAAAACCACAATGCAGTTTCACTTCACTCCAGTAAGTATGGCTTTCATACTTGTTTAGCAAACAACAAATGATGCCCAGGATGTGGAGAAAAAAATACCCTAATCCACTGTTGTTAGGAATGTAAACTGGTGAAGACACTGTAGAAGACAGTATGGAGGGGCCGGTGATGTGGCATAGTGGGTTAAAACCCTGGTCTGAAGCGCCTGCATCCTATATGGGCACCGGTAGTACCAGCTGCTCCTCTTCTGATCCAACTCTCTGCTATGGCCTGGGAAAGCAGTAGAAGATGGCTCAAGCCCTTGGGCCCCTGCACCCATGTGCGAGGACTGGAGGAAGCTCCTGGCTCCCAGCTTTTGATTCACACAGCTCTGGCCATTGCTGCCAACTGGGAAGTGAGCCAGCAGATGGAAGACCTCTCTCTCTGTCTCTACCTCTCTCTGTAACTCTGTATTTCAAATAAATAAATATTTTAAAAATGACAATATGGAGATCCTTCAGAAAAATGCATATTGACCTACCATATATGATCAAGACATCCCATTCCAGGGAATTCATCTAAACCAAAAGAAATCAGCATATAAAAGAATTTTCTGTAATAACATGTTCATTGCAGCTGAATTCACAATAGCTAATATATTGAATCAACACAGATGGTCATCAACTGTTGAACAGGTAAAGAAATTATGATATATATACCCTGTGGAGTACTACTTAATAGTAAAAACATAAAATCCTTTCTTTTGCAACAAGATGTATGCAACTGTAAACCATTATACTTTGTGAAATAAGCCAGTCTCCAAAAGACAGATACCATATTTTCTGTGATCCATGGTAATTAATAGGTACCTAAAATGCAATGTATTGGAGTGAAATGGGCATTTTGAGTTTTGGTTATGGTTTATATCCCTTGCCTCTTCTATTGAAGAACAGTGTGGTTTTTTTTTCTTTTATACTATACTATTTTTAGAACTCCTTTATACTTAGCATAGGTTTAAATTTCAATCATGAGTTAAACTGAAAGTAGATCATTGTAAAAATTAAGAGTGGGGATGTGAGAGGGAGGAGAAAGAAGTGTTGGTGCATGGGCAGGAAGGAATATATGGTGGGAAATATAACTGTGTTCCTAAACCCGTATACATGAAATATATAAAACACGTATAAACTAAATAAAATTTTTTAAAAATCAACTCAAAATTACCAAGGATCTAAATTTACTACCCGATACCATCAAATTACTAAAGGTGAACATTGAGGAAACACTGCAAGACCTTGGCATAAGCAGAGTTCTTGGAAAAGGCCCCAGAAGCACAGGTAATCAAAACCAAAATAGGTGAATGGGATTACATCAAGCTGAGAAGCTCCTGTACTGCAAAGAAAGCAGTAAAATGAAGTGGCAACCAACAAAATGGAAGAAAAATTTTTAAACTATGCAATTGATAAAGGATTAACATCTAGAATCTAAAATGAGTTCAAGAAACTCAACAACAACAAAACAATCCAGTTAATAAATTGGCAAAGGATTTGCACAGGCATTCTTTAATAAAGGAAATCAAATAGTGAACATGAAAAAATGTTCAGAACCACCCACCAACAGGGAAATGAAAATCAAACCCCAATGTGGTTTAACCTTAATCTGGTTAAAATGACTCTCATAAAGAAATAAATGAACAATAAATTTTGGTGAGTATTGGGGAAAAAAGCATTCTAATGCATTGTTGGTGGAAATATAAACTACTACAGGCATTTCTGAAGACAGTATGGTGACACATCAGAAAGCTGAAAACAGTCATACCATATAACCCAGCAATCTCACTCCTGGGAATTTATCCAAGGGGAATGAAATCAGCATGTGAAGAAGTTATCTGTACCCCCTTGTTTATTATGGCTCAGTCTACACATCTAACATATGGAATCAACCCAGATGTCCATTAACTGGTGACAGGATAAAGGGATTATAGTAGATATACACTATGGAATACTACTCAGCTGTAAAAAATTTAAATCATCTTTCACAAGAAAACAGATGCAACTGGAAGCCATTATATTTTGTGAAATAAGCCAGCACCAAAGAAAAATATCATATGTTTTCCCTGGTCTGTGGTAGCTAGTAGAGTGCCTAAAAGGTGATGTATAGGAGTGAAACTGACATTTTGAGATCTGATAATTGTTTATAGCCCTTGTCTCAAGTGTGAGGAACAGTGTTTTTTCTTCATACAATTTGTTGAACACTTAGTGTAGTGCTAATCTTATAGGTATACAATAAACTGAAAGAGGTAGATCACTGTGAAATTAAGAAGGGGAAAAAGAAAGGGAAGAGAATGAATGGTAGGAGTGTGAGCAGGAGGAAGATTAGTGTGGGAACTATTATTGTGTAGTTAATCTGTATACATGAAATACATGAAATTTTTGTAACTTAAATAAAATGAAAGAGTTAATTGAAAGCCTGTTTTCAAAAATCAAAAGAGATAAAAATGCAATGTTGGAGTGAAATGTCATTATGTTGTTAAAACTCTATATATCAAATACATGAAATCACCTTTTTATAAATAAATAAATTCATTTTAAAAATAAAAATAATAAAAAAACTGACTTCCAACTATTTTGAAACCTAGTGGTCCATTGTACTATTATTAATGAGAAAATCCCAAACCAATGTTTTATTTTTATTTTTTTATTTTTTATTTTTTATTTTATTTTATTTTTTTATTTTTTATTATTATTTCCATTTAAAGTTATTATTTAATGAAAGAGAGAAAATTTAAACCAAACTATTGATATCAGGAATTCATGCTAATCAATTAACATATTAATGTATACTCAAATAATTTGAAGTGAATCTTCTTACTAATAATTTAACTATTGAACCAAAAAATTGCAACTTATCTACACCTGGTAAAGTATCTTTATTTTATAATATTCCTAATTAGACAATATTGATTTTCTTCCATCATTAACCCAAACTGTATTCAACTTAATGTTCATTGATAAAAATCACATAGCCATTGAGTGAAAACTTACCCATAAATACCACATAGAAAACGAAAAAAACAATACTCACGAAGGATCATTAATGACTGTCTTCAAGGCATTGAGGAAATCTGAACTTGACATTGTTTTCCAGTCCAATCTAATAGCTGCTCCCTTGGCCCTCATGTGGGCAAGGTTATCATGTTGGTCTGCAAACAAAGGAAGGCCCACCATTGGGATGCCATGATAGATCGCTTCAAACACTCCGTTGGCTCCACCATGAGTAATAAAAGCTTTGGTTTTTGGATGCCCTAGAATTGAGGGATTTCTTCAGTAAGATTATTAATGATAAATCTTAGTAGTTAAATGAGAAATGCAGACAAAATTTGATGTTCTAAAAGAGACTGTGTTGTCTAGACAGCAGAGTTTAATAGCTATGAAACTGTATTTAAATTACTTTGAGACCCAAAGGAAGAAGCACAGAAGTCCACCAAAGAGGTGAGTGAAAGCCATGTGGAATAGTATTGTTTGACGTGAGATCTGAACAATGAAAACAAGATTGAGAAGTGGTAACGGATAAAGGACATATTCTTGATTTAAAAAAAATCATCAAGTTCATTAGATTTTCTCTTAAAGCAATAGTGCATTCACTGACAATGCTATGTAAGGATTAGAACACAGCAGGGAGTCCATAGTGTTGCTGGAATCATGGAAAGAAAGATAACACTTCATCTTGAAATGCATTATCACTTCGTGATAAAGACTGAGTTTTTCACATAAAAACTGCATAGTAATGCATAATAATATGAAATTTTGAGTGACATTTTAAAACAACTAATAACAGAAAGAATAAATGTAATGGTTGAGTCATAAGCAAAGAACTCAGTCCAGGTCTACAATGTGGTTAACAGGAACCCAGGGATTTAGTCCATCACCAGCTACCTTCCGTAATGGACTTTAGCAGATTATTTGCAATCAGGGTCATTGACAACATGAACACAGGTACTTCAGTGTGGGATGTAGGTGTTCAAAGTGATATCTTAACTTATGCAAAATACTCTCCTACCAGGACATTATTCATAAATTTCTGTGTGAGGTAACTTAACAAGAAATAGAAGTATTGGAAGTGAACAATTTGGCTCTGCATAACATAATGTCATAGTTCCGTTTCATTTTATTTCACTTGGAATTGAAAATAAGTATGCAGGTATTTGGCTTGCCTTCTGAATTTTTTTTTCTATAATAAGTGGTAGTTTTCCATTGAACTGCATTCGTCTTGATTAGTGTTCCTCGTGTTTTCAGCATTTGTTCTCCAGAGGCTTACCAAGAAGGTCATTCTGGGGGATCCATTTATAAAGCTGTGTATTTGTTCCTAAGTTATCTGGTTTCTTGCCATCAAATTTCCAAAGAACCTAGGTAATGAAAAAAACTATTTCATGAATTGAATTTCAAATAAGAGCATGTTAGAATTCTAAAGAGGCTGACAGAACACCTACTTAAATCCCTTCCATAGGAAAGATAAGAAAGGAAGACCAGAGAGATTAAGTAATGAGAACTTTTAAATGATGGAAGTAAGTAGAATATTAACGTGTTCTGTATATTTTTACACCTAACTAGGCATGAAACATAATCGTTATGTTGCAACTACAGTATCTTAGAAAATTGAGGTGATGAATTACAAGTTCAATTATTTTAAGAAATTATTAGGTGATCATAATTATAGTACAAAGATTAGCATATTATCAGGGATGTATGTTTAAAATGTATGAATTATTATGTTAGACTCATCTTCCAAGTGTACTTTGATCCATTTCACTAGCAATCATTGAAGTGATAGTATATTTGTATCTGGTGTTCCATGACAAACTTCATTGTAGTCCTACAAGTTTTAATTTCCTGAAAGTACATCCATTAAATAAACTATGTGTTAGAAATGAATTAATTATTCTTAGAACTACAGCAGACTTCTAAATAATCACTAATTTGGAAAAGTTTTAAGTGACTTAAAAATGGATATTTATTTATTATTTAGAAGGCCGGGATAGAGGGAGAGAGTGAGACTGATGAGACAGATTGTTCACCCCAAAACATGAAAAAGTTGGGACTATGCCAGGCAGAAGTCAGGAACTCCAAATGTGTCAGAATTTGGGCAGGGGCTAGGGCCCATACTTGGCTATTACCTACTGATAATTAAAAGCAGGAAATAGTAACAGATACAGGATACAAGCTGTAATAGCAGATACAGGATACAAGCTCTGTGATGTAAGATAAAGGAATTCCAAGCTCGGGCTTAAGCTGCTGAGCCAAAACAGTCACTCCTGAAGTGAATTTTTGAAATGAATCCAAAGTATTATCATTATATCCAGGATTGGAAACTCTTTCAATGTGGGAATAAGAGCCAGCTTGTAGTAGTAAGGTGTCTGAAAAAAAATTTAAAACTGTGCTGTTGCTAAATTTCACTCTACTGTTTACTCTTCCATAATGCATTACAAAGCATTGCTTCATGATTAATTTCTGCTACAATAAGACCATTTCCAAGCCCAGTACCAAAATAATGTACCGATTTTGGAATTTCTAAGCTATTCTCATTTCTGAAGTATAATCTGCAAGTTTTTAATTTCTGTTTTCTGTGTGAGTGTTAAAAGAAATTTTAGGCTCAGAGTAACAATTTACATAGGTGTTTACTTGAAACCTAAGTTAGACATAAACTAGGTATTGGCTCATAAATACCCAAAGGTCAAAATTATCTTGCATCTATTAGAAAATTAGCATATTTGAACATCACAGAAGGGGACATCTGAAACTCTTCCAATGCCAGACTTGCTACTGCTTGACTATTATATTGCCTTCTCCTTCCTCAGTCTGGAGGAGGAGTTGATCTAATGAACTAGGCCCCATATTCCTGTGGGGCCACATAATGTAACGTACTGGGTCTGAAATCAGACATGATCCCCTAAAATCTACACAAAAATGTGGCCCCTTAAAGTTCCCCAGAAGTGCTATCTGGGTGCCACATAAGCTACCGGAATTTGGGGTGCCATACGAATCCACCATGAGCTTATTAACAAGCCTGAGAGGGTTCTTGCCTAATATTTAGAAAAGAATTCCAAATACTGGCACAAATAAATGAGGCAGCATAGTACATTTTAAGCTTTTATTTAGTGAGAAAGATGCATAGGAGAGTGAGAGCTTTATTTAAGTGAGAGAGGTGAATAGGGGTTCACACTGAGCACCAGGAACCAGCCACGTGGAAGAGCATCTAGGTCTGTATCTGGGCCAGGAAGCCTAGGGCCCGTGGCTGGAAGGCCATGCGCCCTGGAGGTGCAGGTCTACAACAAGCCCGCCTCCTGGCAAGAGTTCAGGGAAGAAGAGAAGGCCGGACATACTGTCCCAGGCTTTTAACCTACTTTCAAAGAGGAGTGGTTAATTAACCTGATTGGCTGGTGGGCACCCAGGTCTAGCCAGGTAGGGGGATGTGGTCACACAGGGGCATGGCAAAGGCGTTGTCTTCCAGCTCAAAAATCTAATCAATTTTAGCCTGCATGCCTGCCTACTACAGGTCCACCTTTGGTGGAGGGCTCTTCTCCACCCTTTCCATTGTATCTTCCTGCTTGAGATGCTGCTGAGTTCCAGTTCTACAGGCCAAGCAGGTTTTTCTTTTTGTCTAAATCTTGACTGAGTTGAATCTTGATCTCAAGCTTGATGAGCACTTTTCATTTTTTGTTGAAATAGATACCTGAATAGCACATTGAATGGGCCTACTGCAAAATTAGAGGTAATCTAGAGCCAAGCATTGCATGGAAACCTCAAAATGCAGGTAGCACTTTAGACATTCTTCCTCAAAAATTTCTTCATGCTATTGTACTAGTGCAGTTTTATCAGCTACAATTTAATTCTTTTCTGATGACACATTTAGTGCATACAGTATCTAAACAATCCTGCAAAGTAGGAACCAATAACAGGGCAGAGTTTTGTGAATTTTGTTCTTCCAGTAATCTCATGATGATATGAAGCTTCACACTCTACCTGTGAAATCCATTTCTTTCTGATCAAATATTTATTTCAGTTATTTACAACAAGAAAACCTATGTGTTATTTTTCATCCATCATGCAGAGTTGTTTGTAAATTCATACCTGAAATAAATCCAAGTTTCATATCAGTTTACTTTCACACAGAGAGTTTCTGCAATCAATCCCTTTATAGAGTTAAACACTCATTCAGTGACTGCCCACCACTAGAACACATTTCTAACCTTTTGTGGAAGCTGGGCAAGGGTTGATGCGATCACATTGGCCCTCTCTTCTGTCAGGTTACTGATCATGGACCCCAGGGAAAACACCACAACTCCCTCTTCTCCAGAGCTCTGCACAAATTCTTCCATTTCCTGTGTAGAAAAATGTGCTCCATCACAAAAGAGCAGCATAACAACAACAATAAGGAAAGGATTGATGCAATCTACTAAGGAGAGAAAGTCAAATCTTACCACAAATTATAGTGGTGATCACTGTGGTAAAATAGATAGTTGAAAAAAAATGTCCATCTTACCCATTTCTAAGTATATAGATGTTTGTGTAAACTACAGTCACATCGCTGTGCTACCCTAGCCCCGATTTTTTTCTTGTAAACTGAAATTTCATGCCATTTTTACACTATATAATACATATGTAGGGAATGACATTCCTAATTAGTATTCCTTCTCTCATTCTACAAAATTTGATGTTATATTTTTGACTTCTTTGTTCATCTCATCCCAACTAAATTTTTATTATGATTGATTTAACATTATTTGAGATCCATTCATAAAAAAGATAATGTATGATATACACATATATGTTATTCAATCATTCCTTAAATTGAGTTTAAATTGTTTTCAATGCATTATTTTTATATATAACTGCCAAAAATATTGACATTACACATCTTAATTACTTTTTTTCTGCATAGTTTCTTGCTAAAATCATATGAAGCCAAAATTTATCAACATATTTACATCTCTTGATGCCATCTGTTACATTTCTTCTTTCTCTTATTAAAGAGGACAGAGATTCTCTGGACATTAGTTAGTCAATAGAAAAGCAAGTTCCTTGGGATAAGAAAGATATATTTAAGAAATAAGATACACTTCATGATATTTGATTTGTATTCAAATCTTGTCTGTGTAAATGAACGGCACAGTTATTATTGCTAATTAAGGCTACAGTGATACCTGTTTTCTGGTTTGCCTTATGCTCCTGCTTTCCCCCCTCCCACAAACACTGTCATTTTCCTTTCACACAATTCAGAATGAACATTCTTCTAATCAACGTATGG